GGGTTTCGATACCCGTGGTGGGCAGAGCACAAATAGCACAAAGTTATGCACAAAGCTACACAATGGGCTATCTGTACCCACTGTGTAGCTTTCTGCATAACTTTGTGCTATTTGTGCTCTGCCCACCACGGGTATCGAAACCCGGTTTCTAGCGTTGTAAGTCCGCAGACATACCGCTCCTAATTTTGAAATATCGAACAGAGGGAAGACAACCGGCCGACAGTACCTCCCGCCAATCCTTGAGCTATTATTTTTTCCAACGAATAGTAGGATTGACCGTTGCGTTATAATGCCCTCACGGCTGAAAGGGCGATCATATTCAGCGTCGGGTTTCGATCCCACACTCGCACTTTTCCCCCCCTCATAATGAAGTCATAAAAGTGTTTCATCATCTTACTTCATCTGTCTTGTCACTACCTCCATTTTGTTTTTCTGTTCGGTTTACCCTTCCAATAGGAAAGATAACACATCATCATCATTATGAAGCTGTGCTAGCTTAGATTAAGTTAGTTCACAATGTGTAGAAATCAAGAGGTGGAAAGCTCATTAAAGTTAAGTTATTAAAGTTTCTCGCCCCAAGTAAAGTAAAATATTCTACACGCATCTCCTAAACACTCTGTAAGATCACCGCACTTTGACTATACATTTTATTACAATTTTTCCTATTCAAATACTAATTTTTTCTCTATCAAAAAATAAAAATTAACCATCAAAAAACGTGGAGCAAATATAATAAAATATTGAGTTGTTTGAAGTTAGAGATTTAAACAACTGGAAAATTAGAAACGAAGCCTTATGGAATAACGAATAACAGAATAATGTCTGTCTGTCTACGCACCCTAGCTTTAAGGTTTAACAAATACGTGCTACGATAGCTACTGTATAGTTTCTGCTAACAATAACGTTGCAGTTATAAGAAGATAAGTAGAAGGCGTTATATTGAAAAACGCCACAAGAGCTTGATACATCTAGGCTAAGAATAGCCATAACTTTTGCTAGTTACCGAAGTCTATTATATCTCTCTGTTCCTGAGTGCTTTCTCATTAGATGTAATATACGATAGGTTTCAGAGATTCCACCTTCTACGTCTCTCATGGAGGAAAATAACTCTATTTCCCAGGATGCCACATGTTCACGAGCTATCGCAAGTGAAAAACATGTGACGCACACGCAGGATCTTAAACGCAATTATTTTCAAGTCATTTTACGTTATGGGTTGGTATATTTACTGTCAAGATAGTCCTGCCAACATTCGTTAATGTTTCGCCTGATGCACACAAATATATAAAATTGTTGAAAATAAGCGTTGTTATTCCAGTCGAATCAGAGACAGAGACGTTACCATGGTTATTTGTTTGCACCGACAGTAGCTTAAAAGAAGTGACGTTTGACATAATTATCATGGCTATTAACCGTGGTGACCATTATGTTTCATTCGCGTGATTGCTGGGATTTTTTTTCCAGTTATTGCCTTCACGGATTATCCAGATCTGAGACAATTCCCAAAATACTAAGATAATTATTCCGTATAATTAAATGTTGGCAAATTAGGCTAGAGAACAAACTTTACTTCACCATGTTCCGAATCGCCGAATTTAAAGTCTACAACAAAGTAGGATATTTACTGAATCCTGATTTGTTTTTTATTTGAACATCATTAAGTCGTGATATAGCCTGTATTTTCTTGTATGGTCTTAAATTAGGCTTAGCGTTTTATTAAGTGTTTTGATTATTAATGAGCTTCAATGTATTATCACAGTAAAGTGGGCAGTTGGAAAGGCTGCATAGAATTTTTATTTAAAACCCAAAAGATATGAAATTTGGTCAAATAATCCTAAATTAATAAAATGAATTATGATAAAGTTATTAGTTTCCATAGTAACGAGTTTAATTCGGTTTTGTAACGCAGAGAAGCAAATCAAAATATTTAGATAAAAGTAAAAACTTTTTTTTTACTTAGAGGAAATTTACTCAATGTGCTATCTTAACTCTATCCATCGCCGGGATGGAACTCAGAATTTTAGCGTTTAAGTTTTTGAGCTTACCGCTGACCCATCAGCGGACTGGAAAACAATATATAAAAAATTAAAATGTGCAATGTTCTTACTTAATATAAACAAACAAACAAAATGATAGACAATCAAAGATATACGTAAAGATACAAACGTATTAAACGTTTGTTGGATGAAATACTTACCGGGATAATACTTTTTATTAATTTTAAGTAACTCAGTTTTTGTAGTTTTGACTTTCTTGTTTCAATACATTTTGTAGCATTAAAACTTTATATATTACTATAGCTAGCTAGGTTATGTATACATCGATCCATACTTGTCTTTATAAATTTGATTTTTTTTTACTATACTTGTTTATTAACATTTTCTTAGTGTTTTTTTTTTTTTTGTACGAGTATGTGCACGTAGATAATAGTATAGAAATCTCAGGTAATGGTGGCTGTCCCCAGCTGAAAAACCAGCTTAGCTGGTTTTCCTGATTTGTTAATTCAGTTGAGAAGTTGAAATCCTCTGGTTGCTCAAAGCCCATACTGTCAAATAGCAGTCGCTTTGAGGGGTAGTCAACAATGGTGTAATCTATCCAGCTTTCAACTGTCGCTTTGAGGGGTTGTCGACAATGGTCTACACTATCCAGCTTTCAGCTGCCGCTTTGAGGGGTTGTTGACAATGGTCTACTCTATCCATCTTTCAACTGTCGCTTTAAGGGGTAGTCGACAATGGTCTAATCTATCCAGTTTTCAGCTGTCGCTTTGAGGGGTTGTCGACAATGGTCTACACTATCCAGCT